ACAATTTTGATGTAGTAGCTAGTGCTAGGGTTCACTTTCATATTTTACTGCAAAAGCTTGATTAATTCTTCATGACATGTTTTACCAGAAAATAAAAAATTCCTCTGTAGTATAATAATTTACACAATACTCATATATGTATGACCAAATATAGTTTATATTTGTACTGTGTTTCAAAACATGGCGCCTATAGAATATTTTATCGTTATAGTTATTAAAAATGAGATTGATGCCAGAAAGCACAAAAGAAATTCTGCAATATAATATTTGTATAACAATTTTTAATGAAGTGCTTCGGTAACTAGTAAAAAATAAAAATATTCTGATTAGTGAATTAATTAAAATTCTAAACATCATAACAATAATGTTTATATGTGAATCACATTAAACAATACCCTATTTTTGCTAATTTAATCTGAGCATAAAGATTAATAAGCCATAGTGCATTCTTGTAACAGTGATAGTAAATTTCACTGTAAAATAACTTATGGGTTAAATAGTGGTTTATTAGATAATGTTGCACACAATATTCCTTTATGCGTCACCTGCACCGATAGGTCTTTATTATTCTATGTTAAGGCAAAAGAGAATCTGCATTTACACTATATTGTAGTTTTTAGTATAAATGTCCTCTGATGTTTGCTAACTTTCGCATTGTGAAAATAATTAGTTAGCACCATATTTTTATTTAAACTTCTTTGACCTCTGATTTACACTTAAAAATGCATTACCCAACTTTCTTTTATGCAATCCTCTTCCTTGTACTCAATGTTCTTGTGATAGAAGCAAGAGAATGCAATCCTGGCATAGATGGTGATCTGTATTGTAAAGAAAGTACTGATAGTTATGGGAATGGATATGTATATTCAAATGTGAAGGGAACTAATGGAACCTGTATTTACGGATACCGTTCTGATTGTGATTGCAGAAAAGGTACTTGTGATAAAAAAGCATCTCCACGTTAGTTGTGTACATGTAAGAAGGATTCTGATTGTTATCAGTATAATGCGAGTATTAGAAAAGATTCTATACAAAAGCGAAGTAAATGTGTTAACAATTGCTGCCAAATTCCATAAAAGCGGAATGAGTTTTATTTTAGCAATTATCTTTAGATTTGGCATATTTAAGAATTCTAAAAGTTGAAGTTCAAATGTTGAAATATTTTTAATACCAATATTCTATTAAATTCTAAAAGTTGAAGTTCAAATTTTGAAATATTTTTTAATACCAATATTCTATTATTAGTTCAAATTCAAGTTATTTCTGAAATATATTCTATTAGACTACACCAAATTTTATTTCGAAACAATAAATGCTTAATGCTTTCCTTTCTTAGAGATAATTAAGCTTTTTCAAATATTATTGTAAGTTATCTCCGCGTGTCTATTGTTTCTAAAATTTATCATGGGGAAACCTTGTTTCTTTTTTTTCTTGTTCAATAAGTCTGTCTCGACATTCTCTCCTCACTTTCTTTTTTTCCTACTTGTTTTTTTTTTGCTATTTGTTTCTGCCAATTTATTTTTAAATAGTCTTATAGCTTTCATTCTTTAAACATGAGATAATTCTATTTCAATGAGTTTAACCCACTTATCGCTCTAGCAAAGTCTTTTATATGAGCTTTTACTCCAGGAATTCCTCATTTTTATCAAACAATCAGCTCTATCTTAATCATGTGCTGCGATTTGTTCTATTTCTAATCCTCACCAGCAATTTCTTGAGACTTTAAATACATTTAAGCAACCAGATAAAACATTCAATCATTACGGTATACCACAATGAGTGAAGAAATTAAAATAAAAATTATTACGTACTTTAACAACCACCAAACAAAACTAGTCAAAGAACAAGAAAAGAAGTTCATTGATCGTTATTTGCCCTATTTCGAGAAGCGTAAAAAGTAGAGTTAATACTTTACTATGTTTTTATATCCAGATTTATTTTATATCTGGATATATTTACTATGTTTTATTATAAATTTTAACAAAATATCAATCCGGATATATTTATATCTGGATTGAAGTATTAACTCTAGTAAAAAGTTCTGTATTTTTGAATCGCCAAAACTTTTGATTAATGAATTTTTTCAAGGACAACCTTGACCAACGTTAAACTCTAACGTTGATACCAAACTTTAACTTCTAATATTGACCAACGTTAACTAGGGATGTGTTACATAAATTACATTTTTACATTACATGTAATTTTACGTAAATTTCAGAAAATTAGATTTTATGTAATGGAATATACAAAGTGCTAGCGTTATAGAATTTGACCAGAGTCAATAAACTTACGGATCTAGCCAATGTATATGTATGATCAACCAATCATGTTGGTTCGCCTGATCAATATTAGTCATCACTACACAATACGTATCATGTTACGTATTAAAATTACAATTACATGAAATTTCAATTTACCGAATCTTACGCAAAATTACGCAAATTACATCCCTAACGTTAACATTGACCAACATTAATCTCTAACCTTGACCAACATTAACCTCTTATGTTGACCAATATTAAGTCCAACGTTAACCTCTAACGTTAACCTCTAATGTTGACCAACATTAGCCTCTAACCTTACCAACGTTAACCTCTAATCTTGACCAACGTTAACCTCTAATCTTGACCAACATTAACCTCTAATCTTGACCAAAGCTAACCTCTAATGCTGACCAACATTAACCTCTATTGTTAACCAACTTTAATCTCTAACCTTGACCAACGTTAACCTCTAACTTTGACCAACATTACTAATGTTGACCAACGTTACCTTGACTAACGTTAATCTCAAACATCATTAATATCTAAAGTTAATCTCTAACCTTGACCAACGTCAATTTCTAACGATGACCAACGTTAATCTTTAACTAAGGTTGTATTACACAAAATTACGAAACTGTAATAATGCATTCATGATAATTGTACCAGCATTACAAAAGTTATGCTAGCATTAATACGTAGATATCCAACATAGCAGATACTATAACTAAATTTTTTAGTTTGCAAAATAACTAATAAAAGTCAAGTTTCTTTTTAACTTCAAGCGAGCACAGTAAAAATTAATCTTTCACGAAATGCTACATATAAAGTGTTTGACACAGGTAGAATAATAAAAGTTTTTTTACAGATATTCATTCAAAGATCTTTGGTTTGATATGCAACTTTTATAAATTTTTTCTATAGGATTATGTGAAATTGAAAACATTTTTAAAAAACACTTGTAACTCAAAATTTTGCTTATGAAACTATCTTTTGTGCTCTAACAAAAAAAGATTCCTTGCGAAATTTTGAGGTAAAGACAGTCTTTGATACTTTTCTACCTTTAACACTAATCCTTATCCTAAATTATTCTGTTTCAGTTAGTTTGGATCTCTTATAGAATGTATTATAAAATTATGTTTAGAATACCACAATAAAAGTTGCATATTACACTAGAAGTTTTGCAAAATTTTGTATATAAAATTTTTTTAGAAAACTGCAGGTTTTCTATCATAATAGATTTAGAAAATTTTTATAGTTCTACTCCGTGTGAGTCTCTATAGTCATAATTGCAAATTTATTTTTACTAATTATCTAGAAAATATCTCTATATTAGCCACACTTTTTTACAATCACAATTTTTTGTATCTCAAAGGTGTGACTATAGAGGGGCTTGACTGTATTACTGTATTAGAAATAACATGTATTAATACTTTTGGCCAATCATAATCCTTGATAGCTCGTAAAATCATAATCTGTGATACTAGCATTTTCTTGTGCTAGAAAGTAAAGTTGTATGAGTGTAATGGGGCGAACACATTGATCGGTATGGCATGCTTGGCATAACCCCATACTGACTTGCGTAAAAGTTGGGTGTTGGATCACTCTAAGATCTTTTGTTATGACTTTTTTTAGCTTCAACAGCATTGAAATCTACAATCCAGTATGACCCTTTACCTGAATCAACACGATCGATCAGATTTGATAGTTTGGTTTTCTAAAGTAACCCTTAGTTAATAAACTGTAAACTATATTGTCTTCGCTGTAGTGGTAGTACCTGTACGATACTCCAGTATTAGAGAAAAGCCAAGCATGAAAAGACCCATAAATTTGAGCAAACGTATAGGTAGTTGGATAACTACGTGACAGTTAGCAAATGCTCTTTGCAAAAATAACATGTGAACTACTTTAGATCTTTTCCTTAACAATCTTGGTAATGCATTTGCAACAGCTCTTCGCAAAAATAAAGTATTAACTTCTTTAAATCTTTCAGTTAATGGCCCACAGCCATAAACTCACTGCAAATTGATAGTAAGAAAAATTTTTAATCAACGTATTTTAAAATCGGCATGATTATATAATGACTAAAAATATTAATTAACATAATTTAAGAAACTATCAAAATCATAAATCAAAGAAACTTAAGATAATTAGTCAAATTGTAAAATATAAATAATTTCATCATTGAACGACAAATATGTTTTTCTATTCTCATCAGTTTAGAAATAATTAAAGTCGCTAAAATAGTTCCATATAGGTAAAGTTACAACATTACAAGCAGAAATTGATTGTTTTGTTATATTAATCTAAGTTCTTAATATCGTAAAATGAAGATTTATTAATATCAAGTCAATATCAATACTTGATTGTGGAAATCCATTCATTAGTATCATTAACGGTTACAATTATCCCCCAACCATATCTTATGTTCAATAAAGTTGCCTTTTTTGAAAAAAATAATTATTTAGGAATTTTTAAGTAATTTTCTTTCGTAAAAAACTTCATACTTCATGCATCTCTTTAGTATTCGTAGTGGTCGCATCATTAAGAAAAACAATATCATAATTCTTATCAAATGCTCCTATAAAATTTACTATTAGTATCATTTCCATTTCATCATATATTAACTTAAGTACTCACTTCTGGCAGTTGTTTCGCAGCATAAATTTGTTTTAACGCCATAAATGATGAGTGTTTTTATACCGAGAGAGGTGAGAAGGGAGTCAAGTTCGGTCTTGTAGAAAGCATCATAACGAGTTTTACTTTGGATGATAAAGTCAAGAGTACCGGTTGAAGTTGGAGGTCGCTAAATTGCAAGGAAATTAACTTATCATTAATGAAGATTATAAATAACAATCAAAACTTACTGTAACAATCGATTTCAATTCTTTCAAAAGTTCCCACTTTTCAGATCCTCGTATTATCATTTCATCCTTATCCTTCCACTTGAAAAAATTTTTTTAATATATTTTTTTTTATTACTTCAATGATATTTATAAATATATAGAAATGATATATACCCATCGTGACAAGGCACCTCCGTCGAATTCAATATTCATGTGGCCATGCTGAGTCCATAAAACGGGAATGCCTTTCTTATAACAAGTTATGACGATAGACTTTATATTTGGAATAATTTCATTAACTGCGTCACTGCGAAAAAATTCCTATTAAAGATTATTTAAAGAAGTTGAAATGCTTAAATATATTTTTTATAACTTACTTGCATATCGATGACTAACAAAGCAGTCTTTTTAGGATCATAAGGAATAGAAGTTGACATAGTGGACTTAATCGTAGTATATTTCATGCTACATAGGGACAACCAACGAACACTTGAGTTTTTGGATAGAAAAATATCACGATGTGATAAAGGATATTGTAACCAAGAATGTAAAAAGTGAAATATGGGAATTCATATAGAAATATACAAATGATTCATATAAATTAGATCATATATTTTTCAAGACGAAGCCTGAGCATATCCTTTTCACCAAATTTGAAAAACTTAAGAGAGTTGCATTATACGAATTTGGTATTTCAGAGGAAGTTGTAGATATGGTCTGAGGATCTGTTTCAAACTTTATTCAACAAAATAACTTATATAAACATAAAGGGAATAGAAAGATGAATGCTGCGGAGATTTATTTCATTGTGGTAATAGAAATTGCCCGATTGTATAGTTTATCATTAGCTAAATAGATTTTATTAGATATATTTATCCTTGTATATTCTTTATATAGTATCTCATATAGTGTATCGATGAATCAATCTTAAATAAATACACATGACCTTATTAATAAACCATTTAAAGCCCATGGCTTAAATCTTTGTTTGCTTTAACCACGGTTATAACAATGATATTTATTATATTCATACGCAATATTAAGCTTATGTTTATTAAATTGTATTTACTAAATAAGCTATCTATTCTGGTCTACAGAGAACAATACGATGTGTCTTTCAATAATACTCAAGAAATTTACGTTGATGATTTACGAGGTATTTAAACTTTAATTTACATTAACTAAATATCGTATGGACTATGATAGAGATATGGTCCACATGCTATTACAGATTCAGAAATACCAACTTCAATTAAAACAAATAATAGATAACGAAATGCATGATCCAAGATCATTGAGCAGACCTGGTAATCTGTCACACTCTAAGAACTACAAAAAAGAGTACATCTACTACAAGAAATTATTTTTTTGGTATTTCGTGGCATCGATCATAGGGTTTATCATATTCTATCTGTATGTAACAAAGGAACACTACAAAGAACTTGTTTGGATACAGAGCAAGTTCATCGATTCACACAATAAGGATTTTAATGTGATAATTGAGAATATCAACAGGTTTTGTGTAGCACCATACTCTATAGTATAATCATTTACCTTTTCTACCATGAAACTTTGTTTATCTGTATTAATCGGTGATACATATATTTACATGTATTTTATTTATAAAAGCCTGTAAATTAAATAAAATCTGACCCAAAATTTTCGTTCAGAAACTAAAAACTAAATTAAAAACTAAACTAAAATAGAACCCTGCCTAATGACAAGTGATTGCAAATGCTCTTGGTGTATTGACCAGAATGCTCCTCTGTATCAAATCTGTTACAAGAATAGATGTAATATTAAATTGTTTCCTAACTATGAAACATATTGTACTTCATGCATTCCACAAGATGGTAAAACAATTGTCTTTATTGTCGGTGACAAGAAATTAAGAATCGTGACATCAAAAGATATTATTAAAAAACAAACAAACTCCTCTTCGCACCCCTACTTGATGATACTAATATTAAACGAGATAACGATCATGCTCTTAAGGTGTCTCTCAATGTTAAATTTCCTTATGAAATCGAACGTGTACTCCAAGGCCGTGAAGTGGTAGTCGAGTATGAAAATGAAGATCTTGAAAATGAGTTAGATTTCTTTACAGGTGAAAGAAAAACCGAACTACTCTTTGAATCAGAAGACCTCTGTTTATGTAGTAACAGAAAAAATAAAAAGAATTCAAAGTGCAAGGAGTGTCATATAATTTTACTAAAGGAGCTTGCGCCAATATGTGAATCATGCAAAGAGACAAAAGTTGGTTGGGATAAAAGTAGAAAGCGCTATTTTAGATTATGCAGAGATTGTGATAGTAAGCTACTATCTTGTAGTATATGTAAATCTGGTAAGAGATCATGGGATCATAAAAATAGGAAATTTCTTGATAGGTATAAAATGTGTCAAGATTTTATAGAGAGAAGAAACACTAATACAGATTTAGAAGTATTATGCATCGAGTGTAGTAATAGGTGGGGTCAAGTAGTGAAACACGTGAAAGGCAATCACTGTTAATATCCTATCATATTCTGTATTATTTTTCTAATACCAGTAAATAAATATATTTATTAAATATCTAAAACTACGAACTTATAACAATAGTATTAAATTAACACTCATTAATCTTAGGTGCTAGGTAATAGTGAATATATGTACATCTGGTCTCATATCGAACAAACAATGGCATATCATTTAATAGACAGATCTTTACATGCTGGAATAATACTGACGCTTTGGTAAAATATATCAGATACTTTAAAGAAAAGATTATATTTACGTTATCTCTGATTGTGATTGTGATATTATCATCTGTGGTATCTGAACTTTCTTTGAGTGTGGTAATACACTCATCGCCAGTTTCATTCACTGAACTTAGCCTAATAACCCCTGTTTCTCGTTCAGTATTTATTGTTACAGAATCACCAACAACCATCTGATCTTGGCATATTCGTTTAAACTCATCAGATGATATTTCGACAAATACATTGTATGCAACTTCTGGAATGGTAATATGTTCCTGATCAATATCTAGTAACCTAATTGTGTACCTAGTACTATTACCATTAGTTGAACTTGTCAATATTACATTTAACGAATCTGGGTGAGTTTCTTTGAGTTTCAAGATCAGAGTATCATTGTTCCTCACACGATTTAATACCTTGCTTAGGGTTACAAAACTTATACCAATTGTTGTTTCTTGTTTACAGATATATTCTTGAAAATCTTCATGATCAATATGCGCCGAAACAAATGAAATCTGTGAACTATCTATAGCAGTAAACCCCATGCCTGATTCTGTAAACTGAATATTAATATCGTTTATGAGATCTTTGGTTGATTCTATTATCCGTTTAAACAATAGTGATTTAGCAAGCATTGCTTCAAACATGTTTATAAGCATAACTTAAATTCATAGGTTTATTTATAATCTGTATAGTAATACAAATAATGGTAATATAAATATTTATATCTAGCCTATCACGATCTAGACTTACATTTTAAAATCATGTGTAAACTAAGTAACTCTGGTTGGACCACCTCATTACAAAAATTATAGCGAAATATACTAATCATATCATACTGGTTAAAATAATAGTTTATAATCTTATGATCTAAATCAATTTGCTTAGAGTCATTCTTCTTGGCAATATCAGAAGATATTTTAAGATTCTTTTTTGATAATAATTTCTTTTCTTTTACAAATCCTGAAGATAGTATCTCTTGATCATGATTGCTTACAATAGGATTCTTAACAACTTTCTTTACAACTTTCTTGCCAGTATTTCGCGATCGTGATAATCTGATATTGAATTTTCCTGTCTGAACATATTCCTGCCAATCATCTTTATGATTCATGGCAAAATGTTTTTTCATAGTCGATAATTTAGGATTGTTTCTAAACATATACTTGCAAACTCGGCATTCATTATCACGAAAATAAAAAGTTACAGGATGAGTTTTATTGATTGTATTAGATCGACTGAATGAACAAATACGGATCTGGAGCCACTTCTCATTATGTTTACTGATAAAATGTGTTTTCATAGTGCTGATATTCGACGAGTGAATTTTTTGATTGCATAATGTACAAACTCATTTTATGAAATATGATACTACCGGATGAGGATGAGTTTGTGATCTGGGCATTATCCTTTTCACAAATACCAAAACTCTGTTTATTTATCTTTATTTCAATGTGAAAGTTCTAGAAGGTTCATGATTTATAATTGTAGAAATGATCGACTCCCATACACCACAGACCAGAGCTATGAGTTGGGCATAGTTGGTTATATCCAACTACTCCAGTCTGGCAGTGTGTGGGAACCAATCATATCGTTTATTATTTTATTTATGGTAACATTGGTAGTTACATTTTAAGATCACTAACAATCTATTTTATGTATATACTTATATGCATGCCTTCTTCCATGCAAACCCAGCGGTGCATACACTGATCCATGATGCCTCAGAAATAGAAGTAAAGTAAAACGAGATGTGAACTCTGATATCTATAGTTTGGGAGTATTGTTATAGGAGTTAACAAGCGGAGTTCCACCATTTTATTATCTTTCTGATTATGACTTAGTCATAAAAATTGAAAACAATGAGATAGAAGATGATATTAATAGTACACCTCAAGATTATGCAAATCTTTATAAGAAATGCTGGTCGTTTGATCTGGAACAACGCCCATCACTAGATGAAATATTATCTGAACTCGAGAGGGTCTCAGTAGAAGCAACTATTAAACTCATTGAAAATAATATTATCATAAATAATCGACAAATTGATTGCAATATACCTACGAACGGGATGAAGCTACTAGCAAGTAGACACAAATTTCATAGTATCCATTTTTCAAACCAGATATATATTAAATCATAGTTTAAATAAAAGTGAAGATTTTAACTCTATTATGCAAAATATGAAGAATGAATATAAGCTATCGCATTATTATAATATATTATTTGATAAATAATGCAATAAGTTAAATAAAACAGTTTATACAATATTAGTAATTAACTATCATGAATCAGAGCAGTTAGAAATTTATTTGAAAATGAATTCAATAAAAGGTTTCGATCATTCACAATTCAGTGGACACGAAAGAATTTGGCATGGTGAATTTGCAATTGTTTATTTAGCAATTTTCCAAGGAGAAAAGTATGCATTAAAAGATCTAAAAAATAACCTAAGTTTAAATGCTAGAGAATTCAAAAGAATCAAGCATGAGGTAAAAATGCTATCAATTATTTTACATTTAAATTCCTATTAACTCCAATGTATTTGCAACTAGATTGAACTTCTACATAAAGTTAATCATCCCAACATTGTCAAATTCTATAGAACTTTAAAAGGTACTGTATAAACATTCAGTTATTATTTACCTCATTTATCTAAAATATAATGAACTTTAGATCCTCAAAATGGTAATTCCGTGTTGGTTTTACAATTTGCCAATGGTGGAAATCTACAGTATCATTTACAAAATAAGATAACCGAAGGTTTATATAAAATTTCATGGAATGAAGTAATTCAAATTGCTAAAGAAATTACTGTTGGACTGGAATATACTTGTAAAGGCTGACTGTCTTCAATTGACATATATGTTAAATTTTTTAAACTCTGTCAAAATTCGATTATAGATTCTTACCTCTGTATTAATATCTGATTGGATTGTTGGAACATTCACTATTTCATTTGTTTGCTTTTAAAAAATAATAAAATGAATTATATATGATATTCAATTAAAATTTTTCGTTAGAATTTTTACTTGTCTGATACTAATGTGTTCATTATTGTCTATAAAAACTGTCGGAAACTTAGTGCCCTTCACCATATTATCATTTTCTATTATTTTTTTTAGAAATAAATTTTATATATAAAATACTGATAAAGATACAATTAAAACTTGACATCATATCAGGACTCAATGATTTCCTGTGTCTTTTGCCACAGTTTGATCTACCTTCGTTATCTGAATTCAAAACATCTGATTTATTCCTTTTTTCTTTTTCTATCAAGACTTTTCAAATTTGGTTTACTTTTTTCAATTTGAAGGTCAACTTAATCTGAACTTGAATTACATAATGATCTCCTTAATTTTTTTGGATTATACTCATCACAATACCATTTTCCAGCAGATATTCTTTTGAGCGGAGGCTTTAAACAACTAGTATGAAAACCTTTTTCACAACCATCACATAACAAGATGCAGCTGTGATCACCTTTCTATTTGCATACGGTAAAAATTTTTGCCACAAGAACCTTCACACAAGAGGATGTGACCTCTGTCACCTTTCCATTTGCATATAGAACAATTACAATATTCACATAATTCCTTTTTATTTCCGTAGCAATCTTCACATTCTAACCATCCTGGTGAATTGTCATCACTTACATCAAAGTCGTCTTCCTATTGACAATAAACTATATTAATAATTTTTTTTGAGATTTATTAATTGGTTAGGAAGATTTCTTATCTTGAATAGATCCAATAACACTGCCTTGGGTTGTTTGTTCAAGAATTCTGGAGATGTTATTTTCAACTTGCTAAAGTTCGTGATTTGTCAATGATAAATTAGATTTTCAGATTAATTTAGTCACAGGAAACTTTCTTACCTGATTATCATTAATGCGTTCATTATCGAGTGCGCTATTAGCTTGAGAAGAAGTATTTGCAGTAACATTGATTGAGGCAGGTAATTCATCGGTTTCCTCATTATTTTCAAAGTCATTACTGAAACTCTTACTTTGCTGAGGCTTTTCGATGATTTGTTAATTAATTTTAATTAATTTTATAATTTAATATTATTGAGAATCTTTGTTATCTTATTCTTATTAATCAATTTAAAAAAAAAAGTAATTAAATATTAAACCATTTGATGTATTCTAATTGAAAACTTTTGAAATCCTTTACTTTATTGTTCACCTTTCTTTTGTAAAATTTAAAATAATCATTTATTTGACTATCTTCAGTCTGTTGGTTTTCTTCCAAATTTGATGTATCAGTTTCATTTGTTTGAGTGTCAAACATTAACTCATCGAATTGCGATGATATATCACTATCTAAATCCTAAGTTTTATTTAAAAATGAAATATTACATAATGTAAAATAGGTTAGCAACAGAAAAATATAAATTTAATCTAATTTCATTATAATCAATGACAATAAATATTTAACATTGATTACATCTTCAGGTTCTTTCCCTTTTGTATTAACTAGATCAGCGATTATTCTTCGATAATTTTCTTCAGAAATTAGAACCACTCCAGGTGCACCCAAATTTTCAGTATCATTAGTACCACTACTTAAGAAAACGGTTGCTGAACGTGATGGTTTATTGAAAAATATTTCTCTAACTTCCCCTTAGTAGCTTCTCATATAAGATTTAACGAACTTCTGATAATTTCTTTTTTATTTTTTATAGTTTTGACTGTCATTCTTTTTAATTGTAAGAGAAAAACAAAGAGATAATATATTTATCGTTCAATTATGAAACTATTTCTATTTACATTTGACTAATGAATGATCACAACTTAAGCTTCCTTGATTAATGATGATGTCAACTGATATACTTTATGATTTCGATAGTTCTTAAATTACGTTGATTAATAAATCTTGGTCATAATTAAGGCTGCAGACATTAAACGTAGTAGTGATGTATAGACGTCACTACCTAAATTTTATATGACGTGAAGGTGACTTGAAGAGATAGCACCTTTGGCCTTCCAAATGATTTTATTATACTGAGAGGTCCTTGAGAATACTGGAGTACTATATAAAAGTAATTTATTTATTTATTTAATTAGCTATTTATTTATTTCTTCCTACTTTTAAAAGTACCCTGGGTATAGCTCAAGACACTTTATGGTAGTCAATTAGATGATTTAAGTTTATAAATACGATCGAAACATGAAATATTAATTCATTATTTCTCTTTTAAAGAGAGCTTTTTTTTGAATTATTTAAAGTAATGAGTTATAATAAACAAAATATATACAGAAAGTGTAAAAAACATAATCAAACAATTCGCTTTTACACTAAGACAATATGGTATAAAATTTATACCATATAAAGTTCTTGTATAGAAAATTAATATACAATTAAAA